CACATCACATTTAGTCGATTCCCTTAATGAAATTGTTAAGAAAGTTAGTTTGGTTTTTTGTCATTTCGCTAAATTTCTTAAATAGTATTAATGATTAGGCTCATTATTTTTATCAATTATACCTTTGTTGACAATTTCATGAAAAAATTGGGGCGTTAGGGGTTTTGGATTTAAAATTATATCAATGTCAGGCTTTGGTACACAAAAGCCATACAAGTTCCACTAGCTGACTGGGGATATTTGCTACTTCCACAATATTAAATTGGTTTCACCCATCGAAATTTGCATGCTATTTATAATTTATGTGATCTCACATTTTTATAAAATGATTTTAATTTTTTAATTTTTAGGCCAAATTATCTTAAAAAATGTATATTTTTTAAAAAAATATATAAAATATATACAGGGTGACAAACAAGTCTGGAAACGGTTTAATATCTTTTTAAATAAATCCGTTAGAAAATTCAAACTTTTCACATCAACTTACATGTATGAAAACTACTTTTTCCAAGCATTATCATTTTTTTACCTCTACCAGGGGACGGCCCACGAGGAGTAGGTACATAATCTTTAATGTAAGCATATGTTGATATGCACATCATTTTAAAGGTCTGGTCAAGTGGAGTTCATTGCCGGAAACTGCGTCAAAAAAGGTTTATCCGTTACAAAATGGCGGCTGTCCAAAGTTCTTGTGGAATATACCCACACGGCGCACAGGCCTTAGTATTGGTAAATACTCGTATTAAACATTAGCTTGAGAGCTGAAACTGTATTTTAAAGTCAACTAGCTCATAGATTAATATTATAAAATCTTCAAAACAAATTTAACCGAGTTTCAGATTTTCCGGCTATGTTGAATATGAGTATTTACCAATACTAAGGCCTCTGCAGGTATATTCCGCAAGAACTTTGGACAGCCGCCATTTTGTAACGGATGAACCTTTTTTGACACGGTTTCCGGCAATGAACTCCACTGAACCAAACCTTTAAAATGATGTGCATATCAACCTATGCTTACATTAAAGATTATGTACCTACTCCTCATGGGTCGTCCCCTGGTAGAGGTAAAAAAAATGGTAATGCTTGCAAAAAGTAGTTATCATACATATAAGTTGATGTGAAAAGTTTGAATTTTCAAACGAATTTAGTTAAAAAGATATCAAGCCGTTTCCAGACTTTTTTGTCACCCTGTATATATATTTTAATGTAAATATTATTTATTTTAAAATATGTAAAATAAATTTTCCTAATAACGTTTTATGTGATTTTATAATTTAATTATTAAGTTAGATTTTATTCGTCTTATAAATTATAAAACCTTTAGGTTTAGCAGCTAGTACATTTAAGTTCCAGTGTCAGCCAGCTACTGGGACAACTGACAGTCAGCTACTGGTACAAGCACTTTTTTCACTGTCAGCCACTGGAACACGTACAAAGGTTGAACTAAGTTTAAAAATGTTATAAAATATATTTAAAAACCCCTTTTTGTATGACAAATTTGAAAACTACACTAAATTTAGAATCACATAAAATCCGTAATATCTCTTTAGTTCCTATTTATTCAAAACCACGGATTATTAAGTGCGTATAGTTTCTTATACTGTCAGCTACTGGTGCGTTTACCTTAATTTAACTTTAATGTCCTAACATCAAAACTAATCGTCACACCTATCCTTTATATCAATTTCACTGCATTAATTTCTAAATCAATAAGTGTAAACAAAGAATACCCCCGCCGCAGCAAACCTGCAGACTTAGCGAATTTCCATTTGCCTGATTGGATTTAAACTAAAATGTCTCCTTAGAAATACCTATCACATTTTTATTCCCTATTTAAACAGAATTAGTTTAATGAGTACTTAGGTTTGCTGCAACAGGGAGGGTAAAAAAGTTTTTTTTATGTAAAATATTAAAAGGTACTGCGGTTTAGTAAGAAATTAATGTATTTTCCAAATTTGATCAAAATATGTTCATAAACAAGCAAACTACAACAGTTGACTTATTCTCCATAAGAATAACATGGGAATTTTAAAATTACAATTTTTTGTGAATTTTCTCCGTAACAATTAGGCGCATAATAACGCTTCAATATACTAAATTATTTGTTTTTTTAAGCTCTACAAAATGGTTTCAAAAGAAATTGTGAAATTTTGTGTTTTTAGGGTCAAAAATGGGAAAAACCTATTTTTACCCCATAAAACCCCCCATAAACCCCCGTTCCCATAGTCCGATCATGCTGGTTCGCGAACTCATTCAAGTTTATCCCGCCTTACACCTTCAAACCAAATTTTATCAAAATCGGACAAAAATTACTCAAGTTATCGTGCGGATGGACATATATATATATATATATAGATATATAAAAATTTGAACGAATGGTGTTTTTGGCCTCTGGGGACATCAAAATGAAGAAGTTAATCGGTCCCGGGCTTAGGTCTTACCATGAGACCTACGGTAATAGCTACTTCCCTATAGGGAAATTCGCTAAAAGTAAAAACAATAACAGTTTGTTTTGAAACAGCTGTTTGGTTCAAATATCATTAATTTGGAAAAAAAGGACTGGTCACATGTAGCAGGAATATAAAAAGTAAACACGCTAGTAAAGCTAATGACATAATTGTCAATGTTTATTAGCCATACCGTTATCAGTTCTATCTTTGATAATTACCCACCCTCATTGAATAAATGTACATCGTAATTTCCCATAATAGTTCATTAAAACTACAATATATTCATAGTTGAAATAAAAAAAAGTGATATTTTCACGTTTGGGGGCGCTGATATAGGCACCCCCAAACGTAACCACAACTGAACACGATTTCATAAAAGGATGGTTTGTCTAATATTGCAGTATCCTAGGTCAATGTTGACGTTGTGTTCAATCTATATCATCCATCTGTTTATCTTTGTATAAAACCCAGCTGAGGTTGTGGTGGTAATTTAAAATCGTGATTCCTGATTATTCTTGATCTTCTTTTTATGACATCAATAATATTTCCGGGCCTAATCCAAACAATGTTAAAGCAGACAAACATTAATTGTAAACAAAAAGCTACCATGAAGAATTAAAACATGTAAACATTGTTATTTTTCTATTCTTTACTTGAAAAGTGGAGTGGTAAAATAATTTGCATTTATCCTTTTTTATTAAGACTCGTGTACAGAGCCTCGATTTGTACTGTGGTTTAATTAATTTTGGTCTAAAATATTTTAAACTGTGGTCTAATTATCTCTACTAATCTTACCTATTTCCTATAATCAATAACTAAATAACCTCATAGTTCCATAGTTTATATTTAACCAGCTGTTAGTTAAAACAAATTATATTGCTCCAAAACAAATCGAAGATTACAAAGATTGCTTTAAAAAATAATTTGAACATCCTGGTAATTTACTATGTATATTTAATTAATCTGTCATTCTCTTACAGAAGAATTGAATGTATCAATGATTAGCATTACACATAGTATAAATAAGTCAACCCTAAGTATGTCTTTAAATTTTTATCCAAATGCTGAATTTGTGACACAAAAGCTGAATGTTTACAGCTGTTATGTTAAACAAATTATTTTATGCCAAAATCTAGTTAAAAATCTTAGCGTCGGCTGCTAGACTTTTTAAAAATTAAAACTCAATTTCTAAAAAACTGGACCATAAACTAAAATTATGGCTTCGACATTCCCTAGTTCTCAAAATTATCTTTCTTTCAACACAAAAATCATGAAAATCCGTCGAGTGGATGATTCAGAATCGTGAAATAAAAAAACACAGTTTCGTTTTAATATTATAGATAGATTCAGAATTTCGGCTCGTAAACTATACGAGCCGATTCCTGAATTATAAAATAATTCGTACGCTTGGCTCACTTATAGATCGGTAGAGTAAGTGAGGTTGAACCCTCTTCATTTATTTTATAATTTCGATAGGCTCGTATAGTACAGGGTGTTTCAAAAAAGAATCATCCGATTTTGTAGGCTTATAATTTGAAAGCTAATAATCATATGGACACGAGGTTAATTTTATATTAAAGAGTAACTAATAAAGTTTTTTTACATACCATTTACAGGTGATTCATATGGCTCCCTTTAGATGCACAGCATTTGTGCAACTTAACTTAAAAATTTACTTAGGTAGAAAAAAATTGTGAAAACAATTGAAAATTTAAAAATAAATGCCAATTTTTGAAAGTAGGGAGTTTTTTGGGGTATTGAAGGGGTGCGATTTTCGGAAAACGATTAAAAGTGTCTTGTAGAAAATTTAATTCCTGACCATGAAAACTCTTTCAAATCCTCTTACCAGTTATAGCCGTTTATAAAAAGGTGTTTTGCCGTTTTCATATGTCCGCCATTTTGGATTTTTGGGTGGGGTTAACATTTAAAAATGGAACTTTTAGAAATTTTCCCTTAAACTCGAGAACGCCCTCTTTCTAACAATATATTATTCGATCAAATCGGATTCAATTATGAGTAGTTATTATTTTTCAAAATCGGATGATTCTTTTTGAAACACCCTGTATACGAGCATGTAGTGCAAGTGAACCTTCTTTTCTATATACTATCATCTATGATACTATTTAGTATTTATAATATCATATTTACAAAGCTCGTATAGACTATGATCTGTAGAGTAAGTCAGCTGCTGTCCCCGATACAAATCCCTCCTAGTCGCTTGGTAAAAGCAGAAAAGAAAAAAAAACATCAAAAATTAAGAAACCGTAAAAAACTGTAAGCTGTTTCGTTTTCGTTGTTTTGTTTGTAATGTAAAGAGACCACGATTACTAGAAAAAACATGGATCATAAACATAAACAAATTGACGTTGTTGGCCCGAATCCTATACTAATAGCATTGAACATATGTTTTAGCAGTTCCATTGATTTAACCAATGTTAAATCATGTTTATTTTCGGGCCAAAAACGTCATTTGTTGATGTTTATGATCCATACCGGGGTTTTTCTAGTAATCGTGAAAGAGACAGTTGACAGTTGGTTGACACAGGGAACGAAACGAACTGTCGGTATTTCAAACAAACTTTATACAGTATCAACTTAACAACATAATAACAAAACTAAGTTAGATTTGGTATTGATTTTGTGTAGATTTAGACTTACAAAGTTAGATTTGAAATGTAGGCATCACTGGCTGGCATAGTGTCTTTTTATATTTGTTTTTATTGACAACGGTTATAATTGTTTTTATTAAAATGGATATGAATCGTGAGGATTGTTTGAACTTGAAATACGTAAATAACTTGATCAAAGAAGAGCAAATTCGTTTGGAAGATGACAAATCAAGATTTCAAAGGAATGCCAAGGTTAGTGTCATTGAGTCAGCAAATTAGGGACCTTTATTTGTACCTATACTTAGGCTACCGGTACCCTATCCATGCTTCACATAAGAAGTAGGCTATTTTGTGGTTAAAGCCGCATTTACACCGGAGTTCGGAACATGTGTTTATTATAACAAATTGGTCCAAGAAACCAATAAGCTAAACACTATTTTTTAAAAGAAACAATTTGATGCTTGGACCAGTTTTTTAGTGTTAACGTAACTTAGACCCTAAGTAACTTAACAACAAAACTTTGTTTCTCGTCAGAAGTCGGTAGGTAAAGTTTAAAGGGTGTTCCGAATAATGGTTTGGAACATGTTTTTCAGTAACATAGGCCCTAAGTTACCGGTACTTCTATGTAGGGTTCCCAGGGACCCTCCATCAAAAAAGAGGACAAAATTACTCACCAAGGGCGGTCCTAGACAAATATTTTTTGGGGGGGGGGTCACCTAGTTTGGGGGGGGCCTGGAATACCCCCCAGCAAAGAAGGGGGGTCCGGGAAAATTTGGAAATAACGTGCTAAAATTAGTAGCCTAGTTTTTAGCTATTTTGAGGACCTAGTTTAATGTGTTCAAGCTTCACAGTTTATTTTTTAAAGGTCAACAAATTTTTAAAAAATAAACTTGTACAAGGGCCTAGTATGATGTCATGTTTTTTTTTTTTATTATTGAGACTTGTGGTTTTAATATCAAAGGAATACCGCAACATTACAACACATTCAAGCATGTTTGATTTACAAAAACACCCTTTTAACTGGTGCCAATGTGCATGCTTAACAGAAATTGTCCAAAATCAGACCATGATTTTGAACCGGAGAACTTAGGCCTATTTTATCTAAGAAGCGTTTTAGAACTAGCACCCAACACGACTGCATTATACCTGCACAGCAAGCAACAGTTAACCTACACAAACTACACTACCCAACTAACGATACCGTCGGCGTCCCGTCACTGCTACCGCCTGAATAGTTGGTTCTCAGTGTTTTAATTTTTTTCTACGCCAGTGGCATTACAAGGGGTCAATGTGAGAATAAAGTTTTTGTGCAACTTTTTTGTGGTTGTGAGTGGTTGTGCCGGGAATTAAATCTGTCCCTTCCGCATCTAAGTCCGAGACACTACAATTTTGTTGTTGTTTTGTGGCTAGCAACATACCAATTGGGTAGTGTTATTCTTAAATATGATATCAGGTGCTCTAAATATGAATGATTGAATATTGAAATTTAAAAAAAAATCTCCTAATCCGTCAGGTGCCACGGCTGTTTGAACGGAGTATAGTGAGCAGAGTTATTCAGTTTACAGTCAGCAGAGTCAGGCAAAGCAGGAAACCCATTGTTCGCCTTCCGTTCCGTTTGGTTCTACAGTATTTCCAATGGTTTCTAGCGTACGTTATACACGAAATTTGACCTAAAGAAAGAGGAAATGACATTTTTATACGTAAGATATTATTAAAGTGTAGTATTTTAACTTAGTTTAATAATGTTATGATGACGATTTCTTATAAAAGCTGATTGCTAATATGCTCTAATATTAATACTTGCAGAAATATCTTTTTATTCTCTCACAAAGTCAAAATCCCGGACATTTGAAAGTATTGACAAAAATCCCCCCGGACTTTTGTTTTGTACCCAAAAAGAGGACGTGTCCGGGAAAAAGAGGACGTCTGGGATCCCTACTTCTATGCTGTTGACAACACTTCCCTGCTAAGTTGCCACCCGCTCCTAAAGGCCTGTTCACACCGGCGTAGCCCGACGTCTGCAGACGTATTCGGTGTATTAATACGTTGCCCGTGCACTGTTCACACCGCAGCTACGTCTGACGGCTACGTAGCCGGTGAGCCGGCTGTTGTTTGTTTATTTTATTATATGATTTTATATTTGGTAATTTTATTGTTTATTTTTATTAGCGTTTTATGGATTTCAGACAAGATTGTCACGGTTCAATTGCAGCTTTTATAGTACCCTGAAAAGTCTGTTGATTAATGTCGACAAAAATGTTTCACTCTAATTTTAGGCCGTATATAGTAGACTATAAGACTTGTGCTATATTATAATATAAAATAAATATTATCAGAAAACATGCAATAATTTTGCTCATCCATGGATTACATGATAAAATATTCTATGGTGTAGCCTAAGTAAGACGTAGGCCTATGTTTAAAAATAATTCATTAATGTTTCATAAATATCAGCACACAATATGAACCATAATAAACCATATTAAGAAAGACGACTTTTTTGATAAGGAGATTTACAAGTAAAATGTTAGTGAACATTAGGTACTCGTATGATGAAGTATTATTATATTGATCATATAAAGTTTTCTTAAGGTTGTTATGTTATAGTGATTTAATGATTTTTTTAAGTGATTCTTAATTTTTGTGTTATAATCCAACATTTACCGCTTAATAAATTAACTATAAGGTGGAGGGAGGGTGGTGGTGACATCCCGGTTAGCTAGTGCGCATGCGCGTATTCGGCTATGCGAGCTACGCGTAGCTAGCCGGCGTGGCGGCAGCGCCGTAGCTTCCGTAGCTCACGTATTAATACGCCGGTGTGAACACTCTCTATGAATTACATTAAGAGCTACGTATTCCGAAAAAGTATTAATACATCTGGCTACGCCGGTGTGAACAGTCCTTAAAACTTAGGCCTACCCACTACCACTTGCAGCCGTCCGCGTCAGTCCTTCCGCAAGGTACTCAACTAAGGGTCAAATGTTCAAAGTGAACAATTTTGGCACTGAAATAGTTTTTGAAACTCCCATCCGTCCGCAGTTCTCCCAATTAGAGGCCAAACTTATTAGAGAGAACAATTTAGTGGTAAGTTAGTTTTGGATTAAAATTTTCTGATCTGCAGGCATAGGTCTAAGTTAGTTGTCAAAAAGGATAACTAAGTTAAGTTTATTCAGGTCACAGGTTCTTTGGGAGAAGGACTTTTAAGTACCGTATTTCTCATGTTGTATTAAAGACCCAATGCCATACCTACCTTTGATCAGTTGTAGGCCTGGATATTAAACATTCTTAATTTAAGTTACAGTACCACATGGTACCTACTTAATCAGTCTTAGGTGGTAGGGGCCCAGTGCAAAAATTCAGAGCAAGGCCCTTCACGATTTAAAACATGGTACGGTAGGTAACCTTAAATCTTAAGTAAGATCAAAATTGTGCAATAATTGAGTTTACCTAAATTATCAACTAGAAAGTTCCTGTAATGTAAGTACAGTAACCTGTCCATAAACACCTGAATCGTTGATACCACACACATTGACTACTTTCTTACACAATCGTGGTTTTGGTTTCTGTTCATTGCCGTGACCACAAACAGTGAGCTATGGTAAGATCCAGAAATTGATAAATATTGATTCATCGCAGCAACATCTGTGACAGAACATTGTCTAGATGGCAGATAGTTAAAGTTGCCCTAAAAAAGTATGTTAGTTGTGGAACACAACTATAAACGGTACCGTACACAACTATACATCAACACACAACTAAACATTGTTGTAAAAACACAATCTACTAAAGGAGGTTTCTAAAAAAAAAAAAGTGAATGTGAAGTAATTGATAGAAGAAAATATAAGTAGTTTTAGCTACCTCTGGACAGAATAAAAGTAGGTATAGTTGAAATTTAGTTTGTAAATAATAAAATAAAAAAAGAGTCCGTTAAATTTGTAAAACTGTACCAGTACATATATATATCTATATAAGTTTGTAAAACCTATAAAAATCCTGATCCAAACATTTGTTTATCAGCTCAAATTTGTAAACAAAAAGCTACCATATCAAAATTATTCCAAATAATTTAGGCTATACATTGTAATGATCCAATTGTGTTTCCATGAAAATAAGTATATTTTCATAAATATTTTACTAAACTATTCTCATAACCATAAAACTTTAGAATCTTGGGAGCAGAACCTGTACCTCTTAACCTCTGTTGTTTCAACTGTCAAATTATAGTATTTACAGCTGACTTCAATTAATATTTTTGACTATTTACATTCTTCCAAAATGTAAACATTGAAACTTTGGAAGCCCATGAGGCATAGCCCAAGGGAAATATGATAACAGGAATAAGCCTATATGAACCAGGTATATTTAAGCTACCAGGTATATTTAAGCTACCTTCATACAAAATTTTATTTAAATCGGTTCAGTGGTTCTTGCGTTATAAAGTAGCAGACAGACACACAAACACACACCATCTCATTTTTTATATAGGCTATTATTAGTATAGAAGATGGCAGTGACAATCTCATTTTCCATTAATTTTTTACAAGTAGGGCCTATAAAGTTGAATCTTAAAAATTTAATATTACACAGTTTTGTATTCAGTGTCCAAAACACATCACAGGTTAAAATCTAGGACGTAGGGGATCATGAAGAGGACCATGTGACTGTTAACTGAAAGTAATCAGTTTTAAAAATCTTCAGCTGGATAAGGCTTTGTCTTTCTGCCTATAAAAAACCAAACAATTCTAAGTAAAAATTTGATTAAAATAGCATTTTTTTCAAACGTAATTCCATATTTTAAAAATCAATCAACATCTAAATTCAAAGTTTCGACAAATGGCCTGGCTCATGAATAAAAATTCAAAACTGTCAATAGAAAATAAATTATTGCTTTACAAGGTTGTCCTCAAACCAATTTGGACATATGGCATTTCTTTATGGGGAACAGCTTCAAAATCAAACTTGGATATAGGCCTATTACAAAGATTTCAGTCAAAATTACTAAGAACCATCCTGAAAGCCCCTTGGTAGGTATCCAACGTCACCATTCACAATGATTGCAAAATTCCATTTGTTACTGAAGAAGTTACGAGCTGCAGTAAAAAATACATCTCAAAGCTTGAGTATCATCCGAACCATTTGGCCCTCAACCTCCTAGACAACAGTGAACATGTCTACCGACTAAAAAGAGAAAATGTTTTAGACCTTCCAAGTCGATTTGTACAGCAGCTCTGAAATTTATTTTCTTTGTTTTT